GTTCAAGATTATGTTACCGGAGATAAAGCCTCAAGATTTCACCTTTCCAGTTTCGTAATTCTGGAGCTAAGTCATCACAGTGTTTTTCGCAACCACAATCAGAAAAGTATAAAATTTACACAAAAAAGTGAATTACCAGAACAGTAACATCACCCCTAACATTTTTCTCCTCCTTACCTAATACAATGAAAGAGTCTGGTTTCACGACTTAGCATCATGCCAAAGTGGTTACCTGAGTTAGGGTGCATGCTGGTATTTGAAGAACCGGTCAAAGTGCTATTGCTATAATGAAATCCCGTATATTTCGATGCATTTATCCAACAAATTAGCTTCTAAATTATGACCTTAATGTAACGTGTTTTAAATTTTACCGCTATGAAAAATGCCGAATTGCGGGGACAGAGGGGGCAAAGTAGTATCGCGTAATCGATGCAGATAAATTTCATGCGATGTGAAGCTCATTAGACTGCTTATTCCGCTTATCTAACATCGGATCAGTGTAATGTGCAAATACGTGGTATGCGCGATTGCGCATGAAAGAAATTATTGCTGGATGGAGCTTCTCTTTGTTCGCTCCATTAGCCGTTTAAATAACATACAATAAGTCAGGTCCTCAAGAATCCGAGTCTACTTTTCAGTTGAACCAATGTGTAACTGCTTTTTATGGCTTACAAAATTCTGTGCTGACTGAAAATCTTGATGATTGAATAAATTTAACTGAAGGTACCTAAATTTTGGTAGAAGTTACCTGAAATGTTCTGCAGGGTGCTGAACCAAAAACTGACTAATCCTAAGCTGATTTCCGCGGAAAAAGTGTCAAAGTAATGCCACTGGTTTTTCTGAATTTTATTGCTTTTTATGCGTTTTTGTATAATATGCAAAAACACATATTGTGACGACCCTGGTATGTGTGTGTATGTGTGTGTGTGTGTGTGTGTCTGTACGGGTATTTCAACTCGGCACCGAAGCAAGTTCCGGCGCCAAAATTTTGCGAATGGGTTCCCCGGCCAAGTGCCACCCCAGGACCGCGGTACCAACCCTCAAGAACGTCTAGGCCTCGCATACGAGCGTCTCAAAGTTCTGGCGGGAAAATCGCCAACTCGGGAACCAAAAAAGCTAAAAAGCTGAAATTTTGGGATATGCTCCCAGTCCAAGTAGAACTCAAAAATTTCAAATTCAGCCCCCGGTGGTCCGTAGTTCCCGCGTACGGCCCCGTGAGGGTTCCTGGCGCGAAAATCGCTAGCTCGAGAACCATGAAAGCTGGGAGGCTGAAACTTTCAGGAAATGTTCCCAACTCACCTACAGCTTAAATTTATCAAATTCAGTCCCCCCTCCCTCGTTATGCGTGATTGCCACGCAATTTGCCCCGTGAAAGTTTTTGGCGGGAAAATGGCTAACTCCGCAACCAGGGAAGCTAGGAGGCTGAAACTTTCAGGAAATATTCCCAACCCATCTACAACTTAAATTTATCGAACTCAGCCCCCCGTTATGGGTGGTTGCCGCGTACGGTCCCGTGAAATTTTCTGGCTGGAACTTAGGTAACTCGGGAACTGAAAAAGCTGGGAACCTGGGATTTCGAGGGAATATCCCTTGTCCAAGTGTAGAGCAGATAATTAACTTCCCGAAACTCGAGGACCAGTATGTACAAGAGGTTTCTGGCTAGCGGAATTTTGAGTGATCTTATTGCAGCACGAAACACTGCAAAAACGCATGATAGCACGGGGCGGTCCAGTGCGCGTCGCCAATGATTTAAAAGCAGTTTGGCCAAATTTGCTAATAATAATAATTTTCAATTTTCATATTAATTGGAAGCGTTGAAAAAGCTATCTGCCTTATTCAAAAAACTACTGGTTGGATTTCTCAGGAAATAAAACGTAGCGTCACAGCAAAAATCTATAACATTTTTTTTGGAAATGTTTCTGTAATTTAATTAAGTTTTTTCAAGCCGTTATAAATTTTAGTTCATCAGCTCTGCATAACATTTTTTTTCGATATCAAAACGTGCTAATAGTTTGAAAAATTTGCGCCACAAAGTAAAAGAAATGATGCGAAAATGTTTTACAGAATGGCTGCATCGGACGGGCGCCTTGTATCGAGTTCAATGCTGGCCTGGCTAGATGCTTTGGAAAAAGATTTTGATAAGGCTTTTGTTGGCTTGGACCTACTATTGGGCGAAATTGACTCCGACCAGGTGAAGCTGCAGCAGTGTTCTTTTTTCGTATTCCATTTTAAAAACGTTATTAAAACTCTGTAGAGATAGAATGAAATTCCGTGAGCTGAGCAGTGTCAGCCAATAACTCTCAGTAAATAATATAGTTTTCACTACGCACACATCGACGAATATAAAAAAAAATAGTTTCTTATTCTACCTTCTTGACTAGTATATAAAATAGTTATTACTTCAAGCAGTAGTCCAGTGCAGGAAATAAGCAGCTTTTGAAAAACTGCGTAGCGACGATATTATACCCCGAATTAGTATAGAAATAAAGAATGGCGCTGTTTCCGCTAAAGAGGACGAGAACGACCCCGTCTTGAGCCAAAAACTGCATAACAAAAGATTGTGTGTATAAATGGTCTGCAGCGCCGGTGATATCTCAGATTATTAAGCCAGAATGGTAATACAGATTTTTTAAAAGTTATCAACAATAAAAGTAAGGGACTAGTGGATAGTAGTCAAGCAGGAATTCTAGCTGTGATAGATGCAGTAAAAACTTTTTGTTTACCTTTCGGTGGCATTGTAATAGCCCGCCACGTTAGTAACAAGCGGCTGTCGTTCGTGAAAAGCTATACAAGCACTGAGCATCTATGTTTGGTGTGTGCTCTATACAAAACAACAGTTCTAGAGAAAGCATGTATGAAAGACGTGTAGAGAGGCTCTAAGCGAGTTGTATTTGGCAATCGGATGCATTTCAAAAATAAAAGCCTTGGACGAACAGCTTTGACGATTTGATGAGTCTGAAACATATCTTTACTGTATATTGTAAAAATTCATTCGAAAGCAAGATCAATGATTTTCAGAGCAAAACCATAATAGTAGAAGTTTAAATTCATTATTTTCCTGAATTTTCTAAAATTTATTGTTTTTTTCAGGCCGACATAATGTTTGAAAGCCGTCAGAAGATGACTTCGCTTAGTGGTGCGTTTGCTCAATTGGTGCATAAGGCACAAACGATCTTCCAGCGCAATGTGCGCCAGGAGGTCTGTTCTCTTCTTTATTCTGCAGAATTATCACAACAAGACAAACTGAGTTTTGCCCATTCACAACTTCAGTAAAAACGGCAAGCCTGCTCAGTTGGAAACAGTTTTGAAAATTTGGAATTAATTTATGCCTTTCCTTTTTATGCGTTTTTGCATATATGTAAATTGCAAAAACGCATATTGGGAAGAGGCTGTCTGTGCGTGTGTGTGTGTGTGTGTGTGCGTGCGTGTGTGTGTGTCTGTGTGTTCGCACTTTTTATCACCCACTTCCAACTCGAGACCCAGAAAAGCCAGAAGGCTGAAACTTTGGGGATATGTGCACATACCGTGCGCGACCCTCCCGTTTTAATTTCATCTCCCTTGAAAGCCTAAGTGCCGCGTACGGAAGCCTTAAAAAAATATGCAAATTTCTTGGCGGGAACTCGAT